CTTCATCCACAATCTTTGTCTTTCATGAGGGTTCTAAGTCATATGTTGATTTTCTTCTTCACCCCAGTTTCACACCAGTTTCCCACACAAGCCTGTTAGTGATATAATAATAATTGTCCAGAAATGTTGGTCTGCAATTGCTCCAACATCATTCCTTTAATGAATACAGACTTCATTGCTTGTATTCCTATTACTTTAGCTACTTCTATTTCTATTTTTATAGCAAAGATCTGTACAAATAAAAGAATATCAAAAGGTATGCCTATAAATGTACTGTGCTAAATTCCCTCTGCGTTGAAATGCCTGTGAACTGTTGTTCCAAAATGCCTGCTGCATTTTAATGCCTTTCTTCCAAAGCAACATGATACAGAAGAAACAGCTAGAGTTTTACAGGCACACAAATCCTGGCCCACCACTAGCCACTTGTGTTTCTTTACTTCTGTGAGCCTCGGTGTAGGAGTCTGCGAAATGCCAACAACCACATCATCCTCGCAGATTTTACCAGAATTAGATGATGTGAGCATAGATACTGTCTGGGACATCACAGATGCTCCATAAAAGCTAGTTTATGTTCTCCAGACCATAGCAGCAAGGAGAAAAGATTGTACCATGCTCAGACCAATACTTAATTCCAAGAAGTATGCCTATTGGAGGAATTATGAGCAAGGCAGAGTAAGTTTAGATTCCAAAAAAAGTATATAATGCCTTGGTGTGAAGGTTTTCACATATGGTGGTTATTTATGACTATATATAACTGCAAAGAAAATGAAACCCATTACAAAATTAAACTCTGTCCAGCTCAGCCGTGCTCTAAGAGGGACATGCGTAAAGACAGAGACTATGTAATTGACTTAAAAAAATCCTAAATAACATAAATGTCTTGATATATGGTTTGAGTGATTCAACATTCTAAGACCATTACTGGTCACTTCTTATAGATATACAGCTGTTTTTGTAAGAATGGCCAGATTCAGCTGGGTGTGGTCACGCACTGCTGTAATCCTTGCCTTGGTTCACAAACAAACAAACAGAGGATCCAAACTCTACTTTCCCCAGTAAATAACAAGTACAGAAAGCCTACCCTTCCAGGTAGTAATGTGGATGTAGTGTTTAATCCTTTAAAAGGTCTGAGGTACATCAGAACTTGATGTATCTTTTGAATATGTCAGGTAGAAGATTTCCCAGAATTCCTGCTACTACTTTCCGTAAAAGCAAGAAGATAGACCAGACGGCACCTAGACACCTTCGGGAGTCAATTCCTGTGTGCTAGCCTTAAATCCATGATAGTTTGGTGTTTGCCAGAAGCCTGAGCCTCCACAGTATTAACAAGATAGAAGAATCCAGTCATAAGTAGCTCCAGTCAACAGGAATGTTTGGAGTCAGACCAACTTTCTTAGTCATTTATTAACTGATAGACTCATCTTCTTCATTTACATGATCAGAATAATAAACCGTATTTTTAAATATGCTTTTCAGACTTTGAGGTGTTTTCAAAAGCTATTACATTAGAATCACAAATAAAATCCATTGGTTTTCTGAAGTTCTTGCTTGAAAAGGATTCTGAGACCATGGTCCTTAAAAAAAGAGTAGTGTAATTGATTAGTGAGGTACACTCTGCGAAGATCATAGGAATAAATGTTCACATCAATATATTTGTGGTATAAGTTGTTGCTATAACGGTTGATAATATTGCTACAAAATGTATAAATCTAGCACCAAATTGCTAAATTTTTACAACTTCAACACAAAATAGAATCAATTGATTGCTATGCTTATGACACTATAATATATAACATTTTATTAGTTTAGTAATAAACATATATTATATACTGAGAAGCTCTGAAAACTGAAAACAAAATGTTGACTCCTAACATTAACATATAAAACGCTTGGAAAACTACACTGTTGTTACTAAGGGCAGAGAGAGGTTTAGCAATGGAAGAAAAAGACCAAGATGAAAGGTAGTGCCATATTCACACTTGGGAGAAGACACAGCACACTTTGCATGGAGACACTCCTCTTGGTTTTTACTGAGGCCAGATTTCTTTTCCAGGTAGTCATGCTCCTGTCCCCATCAGGGGACTTTTTTGAATCCTGAACAGCTGCTTTTATATTCTTGCCCTACTGTCTTATTTGAGAATGACACGCTGATCAAGCCCATATTTTTAAATTGATGTGTTTATAGGCATATGGAAGAACAGTTTATAGTCTGAATATGATTTTTCCCACCACGAATGGAAGAATATCGTGATGTTTGGTCCTTTTATAAAAACAGTACCGTACCAGTCCCTTTCTTTCCTTTTTCTGTTTCCCTTTATTACTGATGACTTCATTCTACTTGAATTCAATGCTTCAGTTTCTTTGGGGTAAACTAATAGATTATGTATGCAGTGTTTGCACCACGTTGATTGAACTCATCTGGTGAGTTTGAAGGCTGCTCTCGCATCTCTGTAACCAACAGAAACCCGTGCATGGGATCCAGCCACTGCAGTCCCCTTGTATTACTATGGAGCCCAGGCAGCCTTCAGTGTATAGCCTGCTGCTCTCACCACAGGTGCTCCAGAAAAGCTTAGTAGTCCCTTGTTGTCTTTAGGAGTTATCCTTTTTAATTAAAACAAATGATAATTAGAACTATTTTCAAAACCTTGAAATACATACTGAAAGAAAATAAAGGTCTGGGCTCCCTCCCCCATGCTTAACTTACTCCTTTTTTAAGATTTATTCTTATTATTTTCAACTACGTGTGTCACGTGTGTCTGTATAGGGTGTGTGCATGTGAGCACATGAGTAGGGGTGCCCACATAGGCCCAAGGTGGCAGATTCCATGGAGTTGGAGTTACAGGAGGCTGTGGACCTCCTGACATAAATGCTTGGAATCAAACTCGTCATAACTACTGAGCCATCTCTCCAACCTCAGGGTTTGCCTTTTCTTAATCAAAAGCATCAGTTGTGAATCAATTGCCATCTCTAGTGTACCCATTAAGCCCAGTGGCCAGTCAATTACTACGAGAAGCCTCAAAGCCAACATGTGGCCATGCTGTCTACTACCTTGCCATCAAGTAGAAGACCTTGTCTTGCAAACATGTTTACCTAGCTTAATTTTCAAATATTTTCATTTGTTTTGAGATAGTTCATTTTCTTAATCAGGTATCTGATTTAAATGTAAAACTCAACAGTAATACCTGAGGACCTTCATGACATGCAAGGTTTGTCACATCAGCCCCTACATACCTGACCAATAGTCACTTGTACACCTTTCCACAAGCCCTCCCATATAACTCATAAACTATGAACTGATTCTTACCCAAGGCTCAGGTCATCAGTGCTTACTCTTACTGACATGGGGAAGGGAATGTTATCATCTGATGTGTGTAGGAGGCAGAACAAAGGCAGCTGGGACCTCTAATTGCCTCCTCTCAGCTGTCCAATTATTGAGTGTCTATGTATCCTATAAGTTTCGTCAAGAGTGTCACCTCCTCTATTTGGAGCCTTCCACTGTCACCTTCCATGTGGCCTGCTCCCCCCCTGTCAAAATTTAAGCACTCATAGTCCCATAACCTCCAGTACAGATCCTTCTAGTGGCAGCAATCTTCATTTCTCCAAGAATGTGATTTGTGTAGTGTTGTAGATGTTTCTCTTCCACCTGCCTGTTCCCAAATACCCAGCAGCCACTTCCCAAATAATTGACTCAAGGCTTAATATAAATTATAAATGCTCAGCCAATAGCTCAGACTTATTACTAGCTAACTCTTACACTAAAATTAACCCATATTTCTATTTTTGCCTTGCCACGTGGTGGTACCTTCAATAGCATGGCACATTCATCTCCTGCTCCCTCTGTGTCTGGCTGGTGACTCTAGACTCTACCTGTCTCCTTCTCATTTTCCTTAGTTTGGTCACCCCACCCATACCTCCTGCCTGGCTACTGACTAATCAGTGTTTTATTATACTAATTTGAATGAGAAATCCTTACAGTATACAAGGGGAGTATTCCACAACAGATTCGTCCAGGAAAAGAATATGAAATGTTCATCTTAACATCTCCAGATCTTAATGTGAGGTCTGGTAAAATGGGACATTCAATCATTAAATGAACCAGTGAGGTTCAGTGATAGGTCAGGCCTTATATCTTTTTAGTCTTGCCTCCCCAGGCTGAATTATAAAACATAAGCATAATCCTGTTCTGATAAAATAATCATAACAAATCAAGCCAAACTAAAAAGGGGCCACTAGCTGCCCAAGGTGGCACTGGGCAAGCTGTAAGTCTTAGGCAAAATCATTGGCTAACACAGAGAGACATGGCCCTTGAACAAGGAGCATACTAGAACACTGAATTGCTGTCTACCTTCCCTTTCCCATGTCTTTCCCTTATTACCATATCTTTCACTTTGTTTCTTTACCTATGGTATATCTTTACTTATATATTGACCTACATCCTGCTGTCATCCTGTCCCTAGCATGCACGCGCTCGCGTGCACACACACACACACACACACACACACACACACACACACCAAAAAATTCTTTCATTTCACTGAAAGGAATGCTAGTGCATGCCAGCCAATCATTTGTCACATCCAACCTTCGGGTCAAGCAATTGGGATTTGATTTCAAATTAGCAATGACATCTGAAAGAATGAGATACCCACATTAAAATTTAACCAAACATTGTATATGTGATCATAAGAAGAAAGTAGTGACTTTTTTAATTGCTCTAGAAGGTCAGGACATTACCTTACCTTCTCATTCCCAAAGCATTTATTAATCCCAAATCAGATGCCTTGACCCTTGTAGTTAAGTGTGTGTGTGTGTGTGTGTATGTATATGTGTGTGTGTTTAATGTTCCTTCTTTATTTTTATTACTGATTTCACCATTTTCCTCGTTTAAATTACATTGCCAATCTTTCAAATTTGATTGTCAGGCCCTTTTACAGGGAGAAAAGAAGGGGTTCCCCAAGGCTGACATATACCTTGTGACCATGTCTATTCATGTGCTACAGTGGCCGTCCCATGGCTGGAAACAGTGACCGCATCCAGAAGCTTCGGAAGGAGTATTATCAAGCTCGAAGAGAAGGTTTCCCTTTCTATGAAGATGAAGAGGGACGCGCATGGCCATGTGACCATGACCTCCTCTGGGTAAGCCCATGTCTGATTCCAATCATAAATTCCTCTCTACCAAAATAATTCAGAGCAGAATTACACGGTCAGGTCAAGAAAGTTCTGTGCATATCGGGTTACATTCAGGTTTCTTGAGTTTTATAGATATGAACATTACCCAGACCACAGTCATCTTCTCCCACAGAAGTTATTTATGTAAATCAAACCACAGAAGTGTACTTATTCATTCTATCTGCTTTCATGCTTTACTTCCTGTTGGGTACCTCACTGGTCTGGGGCAAGCAGGTCAGTTACTTTAAAGAGGACAAGGAATGTTGTGTGCCTTATTCCTTCCATTCCTTCTCTTAGACCTTAAATGTGAGTTATTAGGTGTAAATTTCAGAGTATTGTTATCAAGAGATATTGCTTATTTGTATATGAGACCTGAGCAATTTATGTTTCCCAAATTTTACCAGGATAATAGGATGGTGTGTCTTGAGATAAAGGAAGCTTCTGCAGGAGAATTCACTGTGCTAATTCTTTCACATTCAAGGAACAAAAGAGAATGCTGACACTAAAGGGAGACTCTGATTTCTCTGTGTAGCACTTTGCCTGTCTTGTAAGTCTACCTATAAAATACACTCAACTCATGAGCACCTGCAAAAATGCCCAGTAGCCAAGCTTAGAGTTGGATGGTAAGAACTTGTCAGTTATAGTGCCTAACTTGAAGCTGGCATTCAATGCATATCACTATAAGTATTAGCACTTGGTAATGTTATTGGAGCAGAGCTAAGTGTAGTCATTGTAATGTCATGGCTGTTACCCATCCTATGTGTCATCTTGGATGACTAGGGCCTTCTGGTCTACCATCTCCTTGGAAAAGCAAGCATGTTAAAGGGAGTTTTCTGCTCTGGGTTTCACACATATTTCTTCTCACAAGATCAAGGTATGGAGAATGTAGCTAATTCCCTTCAGTTTTCTGCATCCTGTGAGGTCATGAATGACATGTGGGTCAAAGGTTAGTTTCAGTACCTCCTGCTGTTGTACAGAACAATGGCAGCTCCTCAGACCAGGAGATTCCTTTTCATAAAACGGAGTTTAAAAACACTAATGGAGTCAGGGAATGTGGCACACACCTGTGATCCCAGCTCTGAGGAGTCTAAAGTAGGAGGATCAGGAGTTCAAGGCTAGCCTCATTTACATGGTAAGATTGAGGTGCATAAGATCCAACAACGAAACCAAACCAAACCAAAGAAATGTCTAAATACATATTAAAAGAAATATGTTGTGCATATTGGTGATCCAAACCCAGAGAAGTTAGCCTCTTTGGAAAAAAGCATGTCAGACTATGTATATGAATCAATAATTATTTATGTTTTCTACAGATGTTAGAATTAAACAGAATGACATTTACAGTGGTGGGACAATGTGTCTCTTAGATTCTCCATAGTAGAAAAGAAAAAATTCTATGGGATAACATGCAGTAATAATTCACTCTGTCTCAAACTTGATCCCGATTGATTTACTGCCTTAGACAAGAGATGAGAGGCACTTGTTAGGCAAAGCTCAGTCTCCCTTAGCAAACAAAAAGCAGCGATAAAGTGATTGCCACTAACCCAGGAACAGGACACCATGTCCAATGCATTGAAAAGCATTTATGAATTCCTATGAGCAGAATAAGAAAGTGATTTCAGAATGACTAGCCCTTGTTATTTTGGCTTTATTTAAAGGTTTCTTTACTTTGAGCTAAGAGGATGAAGATACTAAGCCTGGAAGAGACTGAAATGCCTGTGAAGCTCACTAAACCTGAGCTGGAGGCTGGTCCCTTGGAAGCTCCCATTTCTAATGATTCTCTTTATGCCAAGCAAACTTGTAACCAAACAGCTTAGTGACTGAAGGACTATCTATTTTAATTTGTGTTTCCCATGCTCTTGTGTATTGAGCTTTGCCAAATGTGACTGATTTTATGTTTCCCAGACAATTGTCTGGGAACTGAACTGTCATAAAAGACAAGTGTTCTCTGTGATCGCCTGAGATACTCCAAACTGGGGATTAGAATCTCAGCAACCTTTTCTCTCCTTTCCCTATGCCAAAGAAAAACACTGGTACCTTTTGTCTAGGGGGAGGCCTGAGAAATTACACCTCTGTCTTGCTACATTTGAAAAGATCTAGGAGAGCAAGTTTAGAAAGTTAACATTTCGTGTCTGCCTCTCAGCCTGACCCCACAAAGCGTCATTCATGAGACTGTAGTATCTAGAGTAGGCTGGTCCTCAACATCATGAGAGATCTTGTTAAGGTTAAATCAAGGGACAGGAAAAGTGAGCTACACCTAGCAATTTATAATTCTCCAGGGAATCTGAGATTCCAACCCAATAATAGAAACTGAGCATTGGTTCCTTCCGCATACATAAGCATCCCATGTTTGTTTACAAAGTCCTCCTCCTCATCATCATCAAAAATATTTTACAGACTTTGAGATGCCCCAGTATAGTACCACAACCACACTCAGGCCAACAGGCAAAAGAATGTTCCCTTCAACCATCCTATTCCAGAAAACTTCAAAGCTGCCAATAGAGAAAGTAGGAAGATAAATTATCATGCAACTATCATCCTCCCTTGGTATCCTCAGGACCACTCTATAAACAACAAACATGCAGATGCTCAAGTCCCTTATTTAAAATGCTAAGGATTTGTATAGAACCTGTAGGCTTTCTCCTATATACTTTGGGGCATCTCCAGACTATTGAAAATACCTAATGCAATGTCGATATTATGTAGATAGTTTTCAATTTCTATAATTTAGAGAATAATGATAGGAAATTGTATAAATGTGTTCAGTTATATGCATTATGTGTGTACACATGTCGGTGTGCCCATGTTTGTGGGTAAAAAAGTATACAGGTATATATACACACACATGTGTAATCATACTTTCTCCCAAATAATGACATGGAGACATCTTACTAATTACAAAAGCTTGGCCTTAGCTTGGGTATGTTCCTATCTAGTTATTATAACTTAAATTAATCCATTTATTTTAATCTACATGCTGCCATGTGGCTTGTTACCTCTCCTCCAACCTGTATATTCAAGTTCCTCCATGTCTCACTGGCAAAAACATTGCCTTTCAGATTCTTCCTGGAGTTTCTATCTCTGCCTTGAAGTCCCACCTATCTTCTACTGCCTAGCTATTGGCCACTTAATTCTTTATTAAACCAATAAGAAGGCGCCTTTCACACAGTGTGGTCAAATATCCTGCAACACATGTGTGTGCATATGTATGGAGTCCAGACAAGAATCTCAGGTGTCATTCTTTAGGTTCTGTCCATCTTTTTGTTTTGTGTTGGTGGTTTTTGTTTGTTTGTCTTAGGGGTAGGGGCTCTCACTGGTCTTGAATCACTTGGGCTAGGGTGGCTGAAGAACTATAGATTTCAACAGTCTCTGACTTCCCAGCACTGCATGTTCCACCATGCCTGACTTTTTTTAAATGAAGAGTCTAGAAATAGAACCTGGGTTCTCATACTAGCAAGTCAAGTACTTTACTAACAGAGCAATCACCACGGCAATCCAGATGCATGAAAAGCAAACTTTTTTTTTCAGTGTTTGGTTGACTCTATAGCTGCAGATGTCCAGCTGTACTCTCAAACTAGATTAAAGATAGCCCAGAAAAAAAAAGTACATACACAAAAGTCTTTAAACTTAAAATGATGAAAATGTTTGCTGAAGAGATAATTAAATGGACATTTTAAAGTATTTTTCTCGATGGGACTAACATCTTTGTCTTCAATGCAACACATACACAGTGCTTCAACCGAAGGTATCTCTCACAATTTCTTTGTATTTCCTTTCCATTTTCTCTACATTCTGTTCAATTTTAATAAACATTTATTTCCTCAGTCTCAATTTCAATAAATATCCATTTGCTCAGCCTCAGTGGAGACCAGTCATTGGCAACAAAAATATGGCATTATGTCCACTTTGGAGAGACCTACAATCTAGCTAAGGAATATGTATCTTAGCCAGCACTCCATAGGACAATAGCATATTTGGCAAATACTGTAACCAACTCCTATGTGGACTCAGAGAGGGTAACTGAAGTCAGTCACAGATAAGGTGCTGTGGAAGCTATTTAGGCAATTTAGGATTTGTTTCAGCCAACACATGTTGTTATTATTATTATCACCATCATCATTGTTATTATTATTATTATGTCATGTCAGTGATTTATTTTTCTTCTCCAAACCAAAATAATAATAGTAATAATATCCTGATTGATTTATTCACTTCATCTATTTTAAAACATGTGAACACACAAAGATTGTAAGCTTTGTAAATATGGGGCTGGGAGCTGAAAAACCCTTTTCATTCGCCTTCTTTGTAGCTGTTTTCCCATCCAGGCTCTGAAAAGCTATAAAGAATAGGTTTAGAGAATTTCAATGGCTCCAAATGAAATGGCCTGGTGGGTTTTTATAGGCCCAATTAAGTAAGCAAGGCATGCTAGCTGTGAAGCGTTAACATTTGCCAAAAAAAAAAAAAAAAACATGATACCTGCTATCTGCTGATATTTTTATTTTCTGTAAAACTTGTTAAGACTGTCACCGTCCTCTGGCAACAGGCTGCCTTTTTTATTAGCAGATAAAGATTATCTGCCTATTTAATAGCAGCATGAATATCCTGTAAGTAATTTCGGAAATGGGATGGCTCTCAACTTGTCTGCAACTCTCCATACCTTTATCGCCTTCTTCACGAGCTTCATAGTGGGTGTTATTAGTCCTCTCTCCTCCTTTTGAAATTCGTGGCTAAATTAGAAAAATGCTTACCTATCAGAGAGTTTATAGACTCTTGGATAGGAAGAGACAATAAGTGTGTGTGTGTGTGTGTGTGTGTGTGTGTGTGTGTGTATGTGTGTGTGTGTGTATACAGGAAAAATGGTAGTTGACGTACCTTAGCTTAACATGACATGCTAATTTCCACCAACCTAAAAAACTTGGTACCACAACTTTCTAGTAAGCAAGTTGGCTCAGGTACACTATGGTTGC